ACCCCGAGATTGGTAACCGACTGCTTTAGATGAGGCTGAAGGGAGTGCAGGTTTACAGGATCAGTGACAGTGGTAGAGCTTGGGTTAAACACAATGACCTCAGTCTTCTGATCATTAAAACTCAAGAAGTTTGCAGCCATCCAAGTCTTGATGTCATCAAGACATTTTAGCAAAGGGTGGATGGAGCAGGAACTGTTTGGTTTTAAAGGCAGATAGATCTGAGAATCATCGGCGTAACAGTGAAACGAAATACCATGTTTCCTCAGGATTGACCCCAAGGGGAGCAGATACAATGAGAACAGAAGGGGTCCAAGAATGGAGCCTTGTGGGACCCCACAGGAAAGAGGGACAGAAGCAGAAAAATGATTGTCAAAGTTAACACAGAAACTCCTGTCACCCAGATATGAACGGAACCATTCTAGCGCCACCCCTGTAATCCCAACCCAGTGTTCTAGCCGAGACATACTATGCTGTGATCAACAGTGTCAAATGCAGCGGTAAGGTCGAGGAGTACCAGGATCACAGACTGACCAGAGTCATTTGCTAGCAGAATGTCATTACAGACCCTTACTAAAGCTGTCTCGGTGCTGTGCAGTTGTTTAAATCCTGACTGAAAAATCTCAAAAATTCCATTTACATTCAAAAACTTGGTTAGTTGACTAAAAAATATTTTCTCCAAGATTTTAGAAAGAAATAAAAGTTTTGAGATTGGCCTGAAGTTTGAACAAGCTGCAGGGTCAAGTCCGGGTTTTTCAATTAATGGAGTTACCACTGCATGTTTTAAAACATCAGGGAACACACCTGTCCCTGTTGCAGTTTAAATGCAGTTTAAATTTTGCAGGAGGAAAAAGCTCAGTTGTCTGCTGCTTCTTAAAACAACTCCAATCTGCAAAGTTTCATTGAGCTCTGCAAATTTCAACATTAATCTCAATCTGTTTCACTTTACAAGATCATGATGCTACAGCTGGCTGCTGCTGCTGCTCTTTGTGGTTATAAAACCATTAATTTATGTCAATAACCTTGAACTGAAGGATTAACAGAGGTGAAGAGGGTTTAGAAAATAACCTCCACCACAAAAGATAATTGTTCATTTACACGGAACCCCCATCTCAAAATAGCTGGACCATCCCTTTAAACAAAAAAACTGTAAATTAATTCTACAATGAGCTAAAGCCCAAAGTGCAATGCACACATTTGAACAAACCCAGATTTGATGATTCTGAGATTCAGAGGTGGTTCTTGCCTTCCTCTTGCTTTTATGACGTAACTGTTTTTTAACACTAACCTGGAGCTGGGAGCCTCCACACCTGTACTCTGTGGGAACTCTGTTCAGATCTGGACTCTGTGGGAACTCTGTCGAGACCTGGACTCTGTAGGAACTGTTTTTCTGTTTGCTCTTGATGAGGATGGATGCTTTTTCCTCCTGCTCCTGCCTCCCTCTTGCGTTGCTCTTTGCCTCTCACTACACATCCTCTGAATTGTAAAGTATGGATCTGGTCAGCTGGTCTCTCTACGCAATTGATACAATTGTCTCAATGAGAAGACACGGTGAAGGAGATCCCTCATGCCCTGAAGGGACACTATATCTGGACTGCCTGTGGACAGTTGAAGATGGTGTGTTTGTCTGTATTGTCTGTTGAGGATGTAGAAGATGCGTACACAACTGGATTTATGATAACAGGATTTCTGCTTTTTGGAGTTGGCGGGTATCTGGCATATCGACAAATTTGAAAGATGGGGGTAGTGGTTCTGGCAATTGTGAGGTTGCCGGCCTTGTATGAAGGAATGTATCAAGCAGTAAGCTCTCAGGAGCCCTTTATACGGCACGTATATTGAGTGCATCTGCAGCTTTCTCTCTGCGGTTCGGCTGATCATTTACACAAGACCAGTGGCCCTCCTCTTTGAATCCGGAGGTTTCTGAACCCAACTTCCAGAGTGGAGGTTTTTCTCTGACCCCCCCGCTGATGATGTAAACATCTCCCGCTGAGGCTTTGTGTTAAACCACATGTGCACACGCGGTCGGACAGACGACATATTTCTATCAACATGGCGGCCGACACACTGCTTTCTGAACTACGACTGATGGAATATATTTTTCATCTCATAGTTAATCTACGTCAGATTCCAGCTGCTGTGACCAACATCTGTGTTGGAAGAGACACAGTTGGATCCAGTTCTGATGTCTCTGTTTATAGAACGAGGCCGTGCACACATCGCGCTGCACTATAACATACTAAATGTGATAAATAACATTTTAATAGTAATAAACAGTATTTATGTTAGTGTGAGATATAATGAAGCTCTGAGCTAAATGAAGCTATCTGGACATTATGGAATTCAAATTTTAAATGATGCTAAACATAAAGCGTGAACATTAAAGTTGAAAATGAAGACATCAGGTTTAATTTTTATTTATTTATTCAACACCACAAACTGTATGTCACACAAACACTGATAATTAAACTGAACACACTATTAAAAACAAGTTAACTGTAAACTGCGTTAATGAACTGGAGGACTCTTGTTTTCATCCTGGATGTTCTACGTTGTTCATCTGGCTCGTTCAGGAAGTCACTCCTTTGATTAATGCAGCTTAAAACATTGACTGGATTGAACAGAGGGGAATTTTAAATAAATAGTTCATCCAACATCTCTGTCTTCGACGTCCTCCTGCTCTGCACCTGGGCCGAGCCTCGTTCAGAACCGGTCCACCTGGTGGGAAGACAGCTTCTTCTTCTTTCAAGAAAAATAAAAACTCAGTTGGTTGTTGTGGGATCGAAGTAAACACAAGCTAACATTATTAAGAACATTTGATTTACCTGCTGTCAATCAGCTGCTGATTATCACGGAGTAAAGTCCGACATCGTCGACTCGGTTCTGGTCCACTCAGCGACCGGTGTGGAGCTGTTAGACAAAGCGGTCCCGCTTGGTGTCAAATCTGCCGACTCTTATCCAAAATCCAACTTTAACTTGTTGTTACGTTGTTGTTAGCTGTTTAGCTCACAGGAAAGAAGCGTGCCGAGGCAGCACGCATGCGCATTAGGTGAAGGTACAAAACTCACACCGCGATCTAATGACCCGGCATGGTAACTACAGTGGATTTGGGAGGGCGGGGGGGAATCCTACGGATGCATGTAAACCCAAAATCCGACCGTTTCAACGCAAATCTTTTCCTCTAATTATCTAATTAATTAACTAATTAACTAATTAGAAGCTCTCCCCCCCCCCCCCCCATCACTCCCTTCCTGAGAACATCTGTGGATCTGTGTCAGAGTAGAGCTGCTGATTGACTCTGTGCCATCTTATCAAGACAATGGAACTTTCTGGCAGTGTCCACGGACAAACTCACTGCCCTTGTCGGCCCTCATGCATAAATGTATTATGATGTCATCAGTATGTTGCTGTTTCATGTGCTGAGATCTTTTTTTTTTTGCAGACTGCGTCACGTCTAGGACACAGTGAGAGAGTGGATCTTTTTTACACCTACTCTCCCCCTAGTGTTTCTTTTTCTTACCTGAAAAACAGGCCTGCACCTCTCGAGGCCGGCGGCTTCAGTCACCCCCATCTCTCCATGTCTGTTTATCTCGGACGGGCTGTACTGTACTTTCATTTCTATGCCGATGATTGCCAAATTTACTTCCCCCTGAGGCACAGAGGCACACGCTCTATTCAGCCTCTTCTTGACTGCCTGGCTGACATCCGGGACTGGATGGCTTTAAACTTCTTAAGCTTCAATGAGAAGAAGTCTGAAGTCATGCTGTTCCATCCCAGTGGCTCACTCATGAACCATGACATTGACCTTTTCTCTCTAGCCCCGCTAGAGAAACAAAAGGTCACTAATCTGGGGGTGATAATGGACCCGTCCTTAAAACTCAACAGTCACGTAAACATGATGGTCAAATCCTGTTTTTTTTTCAGCTGAGACGGCTGTCTAAGCTGAAGCCTATACTCTCCAAAAAGAACCTTGAGACAGTGATCCACGCCTTCATAACATCTAGGCTTGATTACTGCAATTCACTTCTGTTTGGAATCAGTCAGTCCTCCATTGCTCGTCTACAACTGGTCCAAAATGCTGCAGCCCGATTTTTAACTGGTACAGGCTATAGAGAGCACATCACGCCAGTTTTGGCCTCCCTGCACTGACTACCCATTCACCTTCGGATCCATTTCAAAACTCTCATGTATGTTTTTAAATCACTGAACAGTTCCGCCCCATCCTATCTCACTGATCTTCTGCAGCCATATGTCCCACCGCGCTCTCTGAGGTCAGCAGACCAGATGCTTCTCTCAGTCCCAGAAACCCGTCGTAAGCTCAGAGGTGACAGGGCTTTCTCTGTTGCAGGTCCACGACTGTGGAATGAGTTGCCACTGAGTGTCCGGCAGGCTCCCACACTATCAGTCTTTAAGTCTCGCTTGAAGACCCACTTCTATTCGCTTGCCTTTAACACGGTGTGATTTGTTTTGGTCCGGTCTGTTCTCTACTCTGTTGGCCATTTTAGTTAGCTCCTGCTGCTATTTGTATCTGTATTTTTATTTTATGTTTTCCTGTCTGCTGTGCATGTTTGTTACTTTTGTACAGCACTTTGGTTGGCCTTGTTGCTGTTTTAAGTGCTATATAAATAAATTGGTATGGTATGGTATGGTACTGAAATATAATTTTGTTGTGCTTTGGTGCAATGACAATAAAGCTGATTCTGATTCTGAACTTTATCCATTTCTGGACTCTGTGGGAACTCTATCCGGACCTGGATTCTGTGGGAACTCTAACACCTTCCTGTTTAAATGCAGGTGAGAAGTGTCAGCAGCCACATATAAAGCTCCTTCCAGCACCTGGTGAATCAGTGACAGCAAGGTTTTCACTCGGAGACTTGGACCAGAACCGGCCACATCAAGACACTTTGTTTCTTTTTCTGTCAGACTAAATCTTTAACTGTTTAAATATATTTTATTAATTTGGAATTTTTAGCTCGTGTGAGTAACGCTGTTTGTTGGTTCAGACGATGACTTTCTTCAGCTTTGTGTTTTTGTCCAGTTGTGCAGCTGCATCTGTCGGGCTCCCTCAACTTGTGGAAAAGGCCAGGGTTGATTTGGAGTCCTCTGCCATTGGACCAGAAGAACCTTTTCAAGCTCGAGTCAAGGTCGTGCAGCTGGACCCTCATTCCCTGGCCCATTCTGGATTCTTCAGAAAAGGTCTCACCCAGAGAAGAGCCCTTTCCCACAGCTCCAGACCACTCTTCCCTTTGTTCCTGTCCCAGGGCCGACCAGGTCCGGCTCCAGCTGTCAAGGCCCCTGTGAGTCCATCGCAAAACCTGATGGCCACGGAGCTGAAGAAGAAAGGTCTGCAGATGTGGCAAAAAGTGGCAGAAAAAAAAGAAAAGATGTCTCTGCCTGTCAGCTTGAAAGAGAGCAAACAAACATGTACTTCAGTGCCTTTTACCCAGGTAGGACCTTTTCAGAAACATATAACAGTTCAAAACAAGGTCAAAGTTTACTCATAGAGCTCCTCTGTGCTGAACCCCCCCCCCCCCCCCCCCCGGTCTTCCTCCCAGCATGTGACAGCACACGGATGCCAAACGGTGATGGTCCACAACAAGCTGTGTTTCGGTCAGTGCAGCTCCCTCTTTGTCCCTTCCCAGGGGGAGTCTGCCGAGCTGAGTCGAGAAATGGGGGCCTTCCACCGCCGGGGCCCCTGCTCCCGCTGTGCTCCCTCCAGAGCCCACACCATCCCTGTGCTTCTGCAGTGTGGAGCCGTGAGCCGGGAGGAGCGAGTGATGGTGGTGGAGGAGTGCAGGTGTGAGACGAGCCGGGAGGAGAGAAGCACCGAGGCTGCTGCACATCTGGAACCATCTGTAAAAACAACACTGGAAAGGTCACGGACAATGAATATCTTACCTGCTGTAGAAAGATTTTAGAAAAACCTGAGTTTAGAGAAATAGTTTATTTCTGCAGAAACCAACAAGCTAACAGAAGGTGGAGCCAAGAGCAAAGATGATTTCTGCTTTCTTACAACTCCAAACTCAAGTTTTATACAAAGACTAACAAATATTTTTATAACTGTTACTTTTACATTCCTCGCTTATTCCAGCAGAAATATTATGAATGCCATGCCCGAACCTTCACCAGGTGTTTGTGCTGACAAATAATCATAAAATTATCTGTGAATATTGAAATTAGTGAAACAAATGAGGCCGTAAACGTTCATAACAGCTTTAAAATGACAGCAATTCATTGTGTGGCCTCCTCTGACTAGGCTTTAGCTCATCCCTTTAAACAGAATTGTTTTTCTTCCTTCGGCTGCTCCCTGCTTCAGGTGTTGCCACAGTGAACTAACTCACACCAAAGACTTGGCAATTGTTACGCCACATGCCCTTCCTGACCAACCACAGACCACCGAGCTACCACAGCCCTCTGTGTGGAGCAGAGAGCTGTCATGTTGGGTGCTCGGAGGAGCAGATGGTGGGGGTTAAGTGCCTTGCTCAAGGGCCCAGAATGGTGCAAATGAGGATGGAGGCAGGTGTGGGTGCTTCGCCTATCACCACCCATATTTTGATGTTGTCTGTACCGGGAGTTGAACCGGCGATCTTCCGATCACAGACCCACCTTCTGTAACCTCTGCACCACCACCTCATCCCTTTAGTCAAAATTAAATGCTTCAAACTGAGATTAGTCAAAGAGCTATTTACAACAGGTAAGATACTGTTTATAACCTTTCCAGAAAACTCCAGTTCTAAATTACTGGTATCAAAAGACAGGAAAGATTTTATTAGTAACTTTTAAAGCAACAAGCCTTCATTTTTTCATAAATTGTTTGTCTCTGCTCTTTGTATTCGTGTGTGTAACAGTGTGTGTGTGTGTTATCTGGATTTAATACAGTCTGAACTTCTAATTCTGTATTAAATATTCTGGTGGGCCATTCCATCATCGCTCGTTGACAAATGATCAGTATGTTGGTCATGCGTTTATTTGTTTTGTTGCAACCTAAAATGATTAGCATCATATAAAGTGAAATACTTTGTGTTGTCATTAAAATGTCCTCTTTCCCAATTACCTTTGTGCCTGAACTCATTACTTTCCTGCTCATGCCGTTAGGTTTACAAGTACAACTTACTTTGCATGCAAAGCTCAAATAAAACCACAAAGAGCCTTTATGTTCTCATTTTCCCTCTTTCTTTTATTCCACACCTCCTTCATATTCAAACATTGGAGTGTCAGATCCCATGTTTTATTAAAAAGACATGTTCAGTCGACTTTTAGAACATGGCACTTAAGTCTGAAAGCTCCCAAATTGAAGAGCAAACAAGCTATTAAGCGCGGGTGCTCAACGGTAAGCAAACATAATTGTTTCAGCATGGACTCCTGAATTATGTAAATTATGTATAGGTGCCACCTATTCTCATGCCCAATGTCTCTTCAGAGTGGTGGTCGGAATTTGAACGACCTTCAACACAGATGTACTTGAGCAAGCACGCATGTGTGATTATGTGTGTACAAGCTTTTATTTTTCCAGTTAAGGCCCATAAAACCCATTATTCATTTATACCCTGGCACCTGGCTCTGGTAAAGTGAACTCATCCCAACATTCCCAGAGGAGCATAAAGAATGAGGCTCTTTATGTTGGCCTTGGCATGTGGTAAAAACAACCGCTTTGGATGGACTTTGGATGGACGTCTCATTGAACCCCGTGGATTCCATTCATGTGAGTAGCATCTCAGGTGGATGGCTGTATTTTCCAAGACTGATGTGACAAATATTTACGCAGGTCTTAACTGTGAAGAATCAGGGTAGGGGGAGTGCTTTTAATCAAGTTCTGCTATTTTCCTGATTATGAGCTGGGAGGAAGCTCCGAGGGCCGTCATTGAATCCTGTTGGTCAGCTCTAATTCTTTACAACGAGCAGGAATGTTCACAAAATGCTGCCATTTGAGATAACCAGTGTGTGTTATGGTATACTGCAAAAAATGTCTTTTATATATATTTTTGTGGAAGAAAGTGCATTAAAATGAAAAAATGGGTGTAGTGGAGGGAGGCTGTTAATTGAACAAACAAGGTGCACAAGAGTGCGCCACTTTGCAAGACAGATGTTGCCCTTCACGTTGTGGGATCCGGCGGAGCACTCCTTGTTCATTAAGGATGGCCTGGTTCCCATGCTGAGCAAAAGAAGGAGGCTTGCAGCCAAGTTTAGTGTCTGTGGGATCAGCCCAGCGACGCAGGGTGCTAAGTGGCCTAGTTAGCGCTTTAAAACGCACAATGAGCGGCCTGCTTTCTCACTGTGTGTGTGTGTGTGTGTGTGTGTGTGTCAGACGTGGAAAAGGATGGGAGATGCAGGGATGAGGTGGGCTCGTAATATCTGTTCAGAGTGGATGAATACTTAGATACTTGTATACTGTTTCTTTTTATAATTTATATGTTTTTTGCTATTGTTGGATGTAATTGAGTACATAATTTCGTTCCACCTCATGTACCACATGTGATGAATGACAATAAAAAACCTTGAAGGTCATCAAGTTGTCATCATGACGCAATTCAACTGGAAAAGTTTTATGTGCATAAATGTTTCATTCACTCTGTTTTTCTGCATGATCTTTGCAGTCTATCTACTTCTTCATTCTTTGTGATAATTTAGCAGTTCATAAAAAAATCAACTCATTCAGGAGACGGGTGGGATGACTTTTTGGTAACTTTTATACTTTTCAAAATATTTATATTTAATTATTTTATTTATTTTCCCCATAAAAATATGTTGGGATCTCTTCAATTATCTAAAACCATTTCTCTTCAAATGTATCTCTCATTATATAAATTATATCTCTAACAGGTCTCTCTTGTAAATGAGTCTTCGAGGCTCAATGGGAACTAACCTGTAGAAATAAAAGTTGAATGAAAAAAGAAATCTGCCTAATACTTTTTATTATTCCTATGCTAATTTTAGCATAGTGGGCCATGTTCCGCACCTCGCTTGTTGAGGTAGCTGCCTTGAGCTGTGGCTGCATGGTTGTCGGTGCTTGTCACAATGACCATCCACGAACTCGGTGGTGGACAACCCGAGTTAGGGAGGCTGTCAAAGCTGAAGAAGGAGTCCTATCGGGCCTTTTTGGCTAGTGGGACTCTGGAAGCAGCTGAGGATTACCGGAGGGCCAAGTGGTCAGAAGCATTGACTGTTTCTAAGGTAAAAGCTCGGATGTGGGAGGAGTTTGGTGAGACCTTGGATAACGACTCTCGGTCAGCTCCGAGTAGATTCTGGCAAACCATCAGATGGCTGAGGAGGGGAAAGCAGCACTTTACTAACACTGTATTCAGTGAAGGAGGGCTGCTGTTGACCTCAACCAGTGATGTCGTCGGGAGGTGGAAGGAATACTTCTCGGACCTTCTGAATCCCACCAGCACGTTTTCCATGGAGGAAGTGGAGTCAGGGGACTTTGGGGTTGATTCATCCATAACTGTGGCTGAAGTCGCCAAGATAGTTAAAAAGCTCCAAGGCGGCAGGGCTCCAGGATTGGATCAGATTTGTCGATTTCCTTAAGGCTCTGGATGTTGTGGGGCTGTCTTGGTTGACACGCCTTTGCAACGTCACGTGGGCATCGGGGGCAGTGCCACTGTATTGGCAGACTGGGGTGGTGGTTCCCCTCTTCAAAATTGGGGACCGGAGGGTGTGCTCCAATTATAGGGCATCACTCTCCTTAGCCTCCCTGGTAAGGTCTATTTAGGGGTACTAGAGAAGAGAGTCTGATCGTTGGTCGAACCTCAGATCCAGGAGGAACAATGTGAGTTCTGTCCTGGCCATGGAACACTGGATCAGCTCTTTACCCTCACTAGGGTCCTCGAGGGGACATGGGAGTTTGTTCATCCAGTCTACATGTGTTTGTGGATTTCGAGAAGGCATTCCACCGTGTTCCTTGGGGTACACTGTGGGGGGTGCTCTGTGAGTTTGGGATTGGAGGCCTGTTGCTACAGGCTGTTCAGTCCCTATACAAGCGGTGTGAGAGCTTGGTTCGCATTGCCGGCAGTAAGTCGGACCCCTTCAGGGTGGGAGTTGGACTCTGCCAGGACTGCCCGTTGTCACTGATTCTGTTTATAACTTTTATGGACAGAATTTCTCTGTGCAGCCAGTGGGCGGAGAACTTTCAATTCGGTGGTATCAGGAGTCCATCTCTGCTCTTTGCAGATGATGTGGTCCTGTTGGCTCATCGTGCCGTAATCTTCTGCTCTCAATGGAGAGGTTCGCAGCCGAGTGTGAAGCAGCAGGGATGAGAATCAGCACCTCCAAATCTGAGGCCATGGTCCTCAACCGGGAAAGGGTGGATTGATCTTTTCAGGTCGAGGGTGAGGTTCTGCCTCAAGTGGAGGAGTTCAAGTATCTCGGGGTTTTGTTCACGAGTGAAGGAAGAACTAAGCATGAGATTGACAGACGCATTGGTGCAGCATCTGCTGTATTACAGACTCTGTACCGGTCCATTGTGGTGAAGAGAGAGCTGAGCTGTAAGGCAAAACTCTCTGTTTACCGGTCAGTCTGCGTTCCTTCCCTCACCTATGGTCACGAACTCTGGGTAGTGACCGAAAAAATGAGATCATGGATACAGGTGGTTGAAATGAGTTTCCTCCGCAGGGTAGCTGGACTCTCCCTTAGAGATAGGATGAGAAGTTCGATTATCAGGAGAGACTCAGACTAGGACCACTGCTCCTCCACATCGAGAGGAGCCAGTTGAGGTGGTTCGGGCATCTGGTAAGGATGCCTCCTGGACACCTCCCTAGGGAGGTGCTTCGGGCATGTCCGACTGGGAGGAGACCCTGGGGAAGACCCATGACACGCTGGAGAGATTATGTCTCTCAGTTGGCCTGGGAAAACCTTGGAA